TGTCCACCACAACAACCTCTTTCCTGGTAAATCCATCATCACATCAGCAAGTGAGTTAGAATATGCACAGAGTTGACTTCTGAAAGCTTCCCTCAATAAATGTGGTTTTCACCTGATGACACAATAATGCAGCGATACTCGAATAGTTGAGCGACATGTGGCACAGACTTTGTCAAAATTCGACACATTACAATCAATCAAATGAGCAGGTTTACAGTTAAAAATGAATTAAATATATTATAAATAATGTAAACAACAGGTGTATATGATCATGAAGGACTTTGTGTGACATTCATCAGATTATAGTTAAATTTGCACTTTTCTTGGTTGAGATACTTAAAAATTATTACTACAATATTAAAAAAATTCTGACATGCACAGTACGGACATGTATATCCATTTTCCTTTAGGGTCAGTATGTTCTTTGAGCTTCATCTCACTTTGTAGAACAGGGATTCTGCGTAAACCCACATTAAGTGGTTTACAATGCCATCTGGAGCATTCTCTCTTCTGATAAAAATGTCAATATTTGACTTTCATTTGTGTGATAAACACACACTGCTGCATGCAATTTGTTCTTCACTGTCCTCGCTAATTAAAGAAACACTGGACTTGATCTCTGAGAAAATAAGGTACGATAGATTGCTGAGGTTTTTGATGTTTGTGCAACAGCTGCAATAATTCAAGCTATGAAATTTCACTTGGATACTACCAAGACACTGACTACTTAAAAAGGTCCAGTGTGTAACCTTTATGAGGATAAATAATGGAGTATAATATATATAACTATGTTTTCATTAGTGTATAATCACCAGAAAATAAGAAACATTATGTGGTTGTTACCTTAGAATGAGCTGTTTATGTCTACAAAGGGAGCGGGTCCTCTTCTACGTAATCTGCCATGTTGAACTGCCATGTTTCTACAGTAGCCCAGAACGGATAAACCAAAGACTGGCTCTAGATAGGGCTTTTTGCATTTTTCATGAGTTTCGTGGCCACCGTAGTTTCTCCCTTGCACTCGGAAGGAGAGTGTAAAGCGAGGGAGTTGTAATCTGCAACCACACCACCATGCGAGTAAATCCTACACACTGGTCCTTTAAAGGAAAATATAAAAATGTACATGGCAAAGCAGAAAAAGGAAATTAAACCTTTTTACTTGCAAGTTATGAGTACTGTAATGCACTAAAAAAAAAGTGCATTGGCCTTTTGGGAAATTAATCATAAACAGTACATTAAGTGACAGCACTGCCATTGTACATATGAATAAAACAGGAACAAACAAAACAAACCATTCCTCAGGAAGAACTCAGTATTATTTCTAGTTCCCTAATAAATCTTATAGTGAAGGAGGCCTTTGTTTCATTGTCAAGCAGCCATACAAAGCCAAAGTTCAAGTTAATAGAGACAAACCGAACCCTGAACAGTTCATTTCAGGTTCAGTGTGTGTAGAGTGGTGCAAGCTGTGGTGCAGGAAACCTTACATGGCCATCTCTCACACTCCCTGCCTCTGTCTGTCTCCCTTTGTTGCTCTCTCTCTCTCTCTCTCTCTCTCTCTCTCTCTCTCTCTCTCTGCCGCTCTCTCATCTCTTGTCTCTGTCACTCTGAACTATTCCTGGATTCCACACTGAGGTGAAAGGAAACAGGAACGGCTGCACTGGCTGTTGGTAGCAGAATTATTTTCTTTGCAAAGATCCACTCTTCCTCTTGTAACACACACACACACACACACAAAAAAAAAAAAAAAAAAAAAAAAACACACAGTGTCAATATTCCTGTGTTAATGTCTTTGTTCCGTGGCCAGTTGGGAAGATGTTTCCTCAAACATGCTTGTGTGACGAAAGCCATTCCTGTTCCTGCAGTTGGAATGTATGTTTGCATGTGCGTATTTGCATGTGTGCTTGGCAAACAACACAGTTGAAAATGAGACATGGTCATCTGGATGGATCTGAGTCAGCATGGTGCAGATGGGTCCTTTATTAATGCCATGTGGAAGAAGAGTCAAAACAGTAGCACACTCTGCTATCTGCCCTTTGTTCAGTCTCTTCTGCACCACAGCACCGCTGGGACTCTCCCCAACTCCCTGTTGTGCTTACTGGAACCTTTGCAGCCAGCTGCCATATCGGCCAATTAGAAAAGCTTTTACTAAAGCTCCAGCCAATTGGATTAGGGCTACATTTCCTTGCCAGATGAGACTCTAAATGTGCTGCTGTATGCTAGAATCTGAGAACTGGTGGGCAGACTCCTGTTTCGCTGACAGGCACTGGGCACCAGAATACACACATGCTGCAGAGGCAGTGGCAGGAGAAGGAGACATCCCATGACACTACCGCGTGTCCTCTGCTACTGAGTGTGATACTGTGTTTCTAAACTGTTTAAATCAAGAACATAACATGAAGCAAACCAGGATCCGAGCAGCCAAAGGACCATGTTGCTGCTCCCAGGCGTACATAAAGCAGACACTTACACACTGATAGGTTTGCCGACAAAAAGAGCTGAAGACACACAGAGGTGACAGGAGACACACAGGGGGAAGAGAACAAAGAAGAGACAGAAAATGGCATTTTTACTTTTTAGGATGCAACTGTTACTCTCACTGAGTAACATTTTTTCCCCGATTAAATCTTTTCAGAAGAGAAAAGGTTTTTTTATTGTACAGATTGTAAATAAAATTATTTAAAGTTATTTAATTGTGATTCCACTGTTTCGTATGTTTTGCAAGTATGTGTTGCCAGTTTTCTATGTTCTTAATCTAAGCCCAAGTAAATTCCATTAGTGGAAATTAAATCAATTTCCAAATCCACTGAAGCAATCCAATTTTTATGGTGATTTTGATTTAACAACGTCAGTGGAAATTAGTCTTGGATTTATCATGTCATTCTTTTCATTTTAAATGTGTGTAATGTCAACTAAACTAAACAGAACTAAAAAATGCAACAAGTCTAAGACTAAAATCTGCCTTTTTTGTACAATAAGTGTAAGAAGACAAATACATTTTAAAAACTGGGTAGAGATGCCAAACAAAATGATGAACAAAAACTGAAAAATAGAAACCAAGTAATGCAAATGGAGGGAAAAATTATGAAAAAAACTGAATAAGTAAAACAGCGTACCACAAGAAATAACAAAACAAACAACGGCCCAAATTAATGTCAACAGAAAAGGATTTGTCAAAAGAAATACAGACAAAAACAAAATAAATACCAAGACAAAAACTTAAAAAAGGAAATGCGCAAAGAGACAAAGACAGATTGACAAAGACAGCGCACCGTGCATCGTGATCGTATAATACCAGCTCACTTTCCTTTCCTTCTCATCCTCTTCTCTTGTCGATACCAATAGAGAGTTCACTGCTAAGTCAATGCTTACGAGAAAGAATCTGTGAAAGTGCTCATGGGGGCCTGGAGCGTACACACTCAACCACACAGGTATACACACACACACTTTCTCAATCTGCCCTATCCTTGGCACTCTGCTCACTTTGAAAAGGCTGCCGCTGGATATTTGTCCATTATCCTCCATCGCAGAACAGAGACATAAATACACACATAAAGAAGCACAAATGCAGAATCACTCAAAATCCAAAGAATGTAAAACTCCATCCCTGCCCTCTCCCCTACGCATTCACTTTACGCAGCTCGTACGCAGCACAAGAGGAGCATTATATGGCTGAAACAAGCAATGACTAAAGAAGTGTGTTTTTCTACTCTATAAATGAACTCTATCTAGGTTAGCGAAGCGAGGATATGGCCATTAAAACAAAGACACCCCACATTTCTATCTAACCAGGGCAGGTGCTAAGAGGAGGGGCACGTGAAACAGGGTGGAGCAGGGCGAAGCAAACAAAAATAACCCAAAAGGCAACAGACCATTAGTCAAGCCTGGAGACCACCAGCCACAAAGGACTGATACTGAACTCCTGAAACCAGCACAGACCAATGAGACCCACTAGACCACAGCACAGAGACCACACATAAAAGACAAGACAAGAGAAATACTGCCAAATCTGCCACACTGCTGTTTTAAGCACCTAGAGTTGCTGGTTTTTTTTGGTTTGTCAGGTTCTGCATGATACTGTACAGACAGACAGACAGACAGACAGGTGTGAAGACCTTTGTACACTGACAACTTGATATGCCTGTTGTGGTGTGTTGTGGAGAATTACGGTGTTAGTTTATGATTAGTTCAACAGGATCAGGTATGCCAACAAGCTGGTTCAGCAAGAAGAGACAGCAGTTCAGCATTTCCTTCTATTCACTGTCATTCACCTGATCACACGCACACGCACACACACACACAACAAAAGAGAGACACTGTGAGGAAATAACCGCAACGATGAAACGCAATACATGTACTTTTGGTTCCCTAAAACAGTACTTAGTGAACGTGAAAAGGGGGAAAAGAAACACAAACCACAATAAGGTGACAGACACCAAATAAACAACAGGGACACCTCAACTAGCAGGACCTCCAGTAACCGAAGCAAGACTGGGAGAAAGATACTTCAGCTAAAAAAGACCTCAATGGGTTTTACATGCGATCAATATCTCTCGCAGCACAGTGCGGAAGTAAGCTGACACCTGCTATAAAAGATGAGCTACAGTCAAACCGCCCTCATGGTCTATTCTTCGGTAGGTTATTCGGTTTGGACGCCGGTTTCTTCCGCAAACAGAGTCAAAACACTGCGGACTCGCAACACGAGGACAGTTAAACGTTTCATCACGTGTAAAGTTCCTCTTTTTGTTCTTGCCAAGAGAGGAAAAAAAAAAAGCGAAAGCAAGGACGGATAAAAACAGACGATACACTGAAGAAAGAAAGAAAAGAGATAAAAGTACCGGTAGGTGAAGTTCCGAACCTCTACGGACCAAGAGCAAGCGAGAAATTAAAAAACTAAATTATCCAAAACTCCGGCTGGCAGAATTTTCTCTCACGGGATGACAGCGCTTAAACAATGTATATTAAATATAAAACGTAGCTAGAAAGAAAAATATCAACCAACTTACGGTTTCAGAAATAAGACGAAGAGAGTCCGCCACTGCCACCAAATCTCCAAATCCAAAGAGCCCAAAAAAAAAAAAATCCGAGCCCAATCCGACAAATGAGAGAGCCGATGTGAGCTGTCACCGTCCTGCCGCAGCGAGGAGAAGTCACAGACTGGCGCCTTGACAACCGGGGCAGCGAGCGCGAGCCCGGAGCCGCCTGCTGGTTTCCCTTCTCTCGCACGAGACAAGAGAAACAGGGAGAGATCCCTACAGATGGCAGTTGGTAGGAGTGCGCAGGCGCAGACTGGGTCGATTCATTCCGGTGGAGTAGGGCTGTAAAAAAAAAAAAAAAAAAAATAAGGAAGAAACAGCAGGGGAAAATGCGCTGCGTTTATTTATTATTTTATTTATTTATGTTTCCGAGGAAGCATTTGAGACAAACAGAAAAGTGACAGCGGAATAAACCCGCGGAGTGTAGATAACACTAGGTCAAAAAAAGCCCAAAAGATAAAGACTAGAACCTAATGCTAATTTCATTAATTTAGGACTACAACTATTGATTATTTTCACCATCAATTAACCTGTCCAAATTGTGTCTGATATATTGATTCAACTGTTAAATCAAGGCTATAATATGTCAGAAAATAGTGAACGATGTCCATAACAAGTTCCCAGAATCCATGGGGAGGTCTTCAGATAGCAGTGATATAAATAATACGAATATTGACACATGACTTACAGTAAGGACTTAAATGCTTGATTACTGAAAATGACATTTTTACCAAAATATTTACCTTGGTTGGTTGAATTGATTTTTATAGACTGACTGTGTCGGAACTTAATTTTACTTCTGTACTAAAACAACAAAAAGGGAACACAGTGCCGTTTACTGTAGCCTAGAAGTACATCTTGACCGCGACTCCCTCTCCATCCAAGAGGAGCATTACTCTCTCCCAGACAGTCTTATAAATAATTCAGCAATAAAAGCTTGCCTCTGCTTGCCTGGTTGCGTGCAGCACCCAAAGAAAGCCTCTCACACTCTCCCCCCCTTCCTCCTCCTCACGCTCGCCACGGCGTCAATCTATGCGGGCGTTACCAATTAAAACAAATCTCCAAGCGAAATAAAGTTCAATCAACATTCTTGTTTCGCAAATGGCTGTGGCCGTTCAGCCAGATCAGTCAGGGATTACAAGGCTTCTGTCAACTATCAATAGCCTCATGTGCCTGCGAGAGACGCGGGGGGGAGAGAGAGAGAGAGAGACCGGGAGAGAGAAGGTGGTTGGGTTTCAATGCGCAGACGGTGCAGAGCAACCAGCCGATGATGCTGTTTGTCCTGTCCGGAGGAGGAGGAGGAGGAGAGCAGAGAATCTCCCGCAAGCGACAGCGACTTTAATCCAAAACATCCTGTCCCAGAGCCCCGCGCCTGAACCGCACACTATCCCGCCACAGCCGGCGAGAGGATGAGGGCAGGAAAAAGTGTAAAGCCGTGGGGGGAAAAAAAGCAATTTACCTGCACACCGCTCCCGTTCAGCCTGCCGTTATTACTTCCCACTCAGTGTGGCTTTCAGTGCCGCCGCTCACTCCGAGCTGCTCTCCGCTGAACGGGAATTTAGACAACGGGATTTGTTCACGTGGTCACGCTCGGTGCTCCTAATTGGCGGAGCGGCTCGAGCCGCTGCTCTCTCTCACCTGTACGGTGAGCGGTTCAACGGTGCAACGGTGCAGGGGGGGTGAGGGTGGGAGGAAGACAGAAAAACCCCAGATCAGTTCAAGATAGGACCTATATAATATAATAATATGGATCGCTTCCTCTGTTTATCTCTCGCGGTGTGTGTGTATGTGTGAGTGTGTCACAGAGAGGAAGCTTTAAGTCCCATAATAATATAATTCATATCTTTTAGCAATCTAATAAATAGTAATCTGATATAGCCTATATTATGAACGAAATCAGATCATAGCATTGTTAGGCCATTGGACCAAATGACTACTGTCAGATTATTGGTTGATTCGTTATGTGCAAGAATCTTATCAGTATATTTATAACAGAACGATAAGATTACACAATTACACACAGTGTAGTAAGTGAAATTAGACTTCTGTAAATTCCAGTACAGGAAAGATGAGTAAGCTGAGTGTCCATGCTATATCCCTGCTTACTGTACTTAAGGTATCCTATGCAAAGTCTACAGGCAAAGTATAAAATTTTGACATGTGCAGATCTCAGATGAAGATTACATAACATACATTCATTTTGGAAAAACATTTGTGGCCTCATAACCTTTGTTGAGTATCTGAGTAGCAAAGCATCCGCCCCATGTAAAAGAGATCTTAATCTCAATCAGTCTTCCTGAATAAATGAAGCTTAACCAGCAAATGAACATTTGTAGCAAATCTGAGACAAAAACATTAAAAATCATTCAAATTTGGATCTGGGGATACTTTAGTTTGGGTGTGAATGCTGCACATAAAACCAATGACAGATATATGAAGGCAGTGTTTACTGTGACATTAGCAACATCTGTCACACATCTGTCATTAGCATGAAGGACTGCCATGGCATTCTTTTCAATGGCATTACAGACTACTGACATAGTCACATTCACAAACCCATAATCTTATAACACATGGACACATATACAGAAGCAAACATATACTGCCAGCCGCACATTTTCTTTTTTGTATTTCTGTCAAAATCTCATTACCTTTACTGTAACACTTCTTGGAAAATATCAGCTCTCCTGTATGAAGTTGCAAATTTATAAGTGGTGAATGAAATTTGTGCAAAAATTGGCATTGCTGGGCGTTTAGAAAGAAATCCACACTGTAAAATGCAGTCTGGACCTGAATAGCTCTCCATGTACTGATGGTCCAGTCAGGTCAATTTTGAACAATCTCTCTATGTTCAAATAGCAGAAAGCTATTCTATTGAATCCATTAATGGAAAACACATTGTGATGGGAGTATTGTATAAGTATGTTATAATCAAATTTACAGTAGTCATATGCCATTTATATACTGGATTTACAGCAATTTGTGCCTCTCTTTGAGTGTGGCCCACCGGTCACTCACTCACTTACTCACTCACTCACTCACACACACACACTACACACACACACACACACACACACACACACACACACACACACACACAGTTTGCAACATATATGAAAAAAGGTTTTATTAGCATACCTGCGGTAGAGGCTTGTAAATGAGGCAGCGGCAAACCTCAGTGCACAGCCCATACCCCATACCCACTTTAACTCATGCACACAAGCATACCATACACACACAGTTATTCATCTACCTACTGAGGCCACGGCATAGTAGCAGTCAATGGTGCGGGAGTATTTTTAGATTTCATGTGGGTTGCAGATGCTGCTCTACTGAACCAGGTCACAGCAAATAGAACAGTGTTTTCACTGTAACACTCAATGCCTTTGACTTCCTCTTAGTTCCCCTATAAATGTTTGCCTTCCCATATTTAGTGTCAATGTTTTAAAATAAATTCGAGAGCGGAGATTGTGATTATCGTGTCACTACCTGCATTGTAGCTCACCTATCTGGATGTGGAGTCTTCTCTTGCTCAGATTTCTTCGTCGGTCCTGGCAGATAAGGCCAAGACACTCAACTGGCCTGCAGGCTGTTGGCAGTGATTTGCCTCTATGTTTTCCCCCTGCTCAGTTTTGGCCCAAATTAAAAGCATGTTGGGTTTTTTAGGGCAAGATAGGGCATTTATAATTGACTATGAGAAATCTGACACAGTTGCAGTACCAACTGTCGAAAATTTAGAGTGAATCAAGCTTGTATATATTCAAGCTTCGAGACAATCAAATTGATTGAACAGCACTTAGAAGTAGGTGTCATAACCACAGTATAAGCTTGGAAGTTACTCCTCCTTTTCCAGACTGGAGGGGATCCCTTGGTTTTTTGAGTCAGGGGGTGGAGAGTTATTATCTAGGAGAACAAAAGCTGAAGAGCACAGAACAACCCCCCCACCCTCTATCCCTTCCTTCATCCGCCCCCACCATCTCTCCATCCCCCATCCACACACCCAACACAAACGCCTGCCATCTGACACCCCTCTAAGGAGTTCTTTTTTAGAGTTGTCTTCTAAAAACACACAGCACACACATAAACATTGTTTGGTGGTTGTGAGGAAGAGCTCCTATGTTCTCAATCCAAGGCAGAGAAGCCAAATGGCATAGAGAGAAACAGACGGCAGGACAGACAGACAAACAGACAGACGCCCTTTCTGCGTGTTAATCATGCCTACGTGCGCACCAAGAAAGAGGAAGAAGCAGAAGATTTGAGAGGGACTTTCTGCTGGTGGATCATAGTGTACTGTAGGTCGCAGCGTGTGTGTATCAACCGTTGGTCATTTGGTGTGATGCCACCTGGCTGTCTGACCACAAGCAGGACATAGAGAGGTGTGTGTGTTTGTGTGTGTGTGTGTGTGTGTGTGTGTGTGTGTGTGTGTGTGTGTGTGTGTGTGTGTGTGTGTGTGTGTGTGTGTGTGAAGTCCTGCTGGGCCGGACAGAACTTCGACGGGCAGCAGATGGCGGTGCCAGTGTGTTATGGGCAAAAGAGTAAGGTGGACTCACACATGGGTGCACACAGGCTGCCCTGCCTATGGTCAGACAGCCATGATTGCCAGGAAGAACCTCAATAGATACTAATCTGACTTATACCCACCACCCTTAGTATTTTTTTTTATAACCCGAGTAAAGATTTATCCATGTAGTTTTGTTTCTTTCATTTTCTCCTCGCTTATTAGCACTCATAATTATGCAGACCACGGTTCTAATTTCTTTCCTAATTAAAAAGTTTAAAAAGGAATTATCAGTCTGTTTAAGTATCAATAAATTAATGCCATTCAACAAAGTACAATATACTGGTATACTGGTCAAGCAGGTGTTCAGAGTCTTTGTCAGCCTTATTTGTTTTAACATAGAATATCACTTTTTATGTAAGATCCTTTAGTAATATTTCCTGTCCAACAAACTCACTTGTGTTTGCACATACGTAAACACACAGATGCACACGCACTCTCAGGGAGCTGTGGCTGAGCAGCTGTCTGGGGAGTGGACGACATCTCTATTGTTGGAGTGTGATGGATGAGACGGGATGTTGGACTGTGGACTGGGGGGGGGGATTTTCTGTTCTCACTTTGTGTACCTTCATTACTGCAGTTGATGGAAAAAGATGTTTTAGAGCAACACATCCTCATACCTAAATGACTGAATAGACGTTTATGAATGAGGATGTCCTCTCCTGATGTCCTTTTCCATCTCATGAAAGGTGAGGACAAGAGCTGTCAAATTAGGATTGCATGGAATGATCAGATGATGACATGACACCTTCACAATGCCGGCAATGTACGGCTGCAAATTATTTGCTTTGAGAGCACGTATTTGTGCTTTGGGGGAGTTGCTTCATGTCTGGGCTTTAGATCAGTAACTCATTTCCCTGACACACACGTGCAAACACAATCACAAACAGACACACATTGTGGTTGGTGGGTAAATAATCCTCTTGGGTGAACATCTGTTGTCAGTAACAGGTGATGGTAAGGTGAGACCGCATTGTTGTCCCCACCCAAAATCTCACACAGTTAACCAATACACATACACACACACACACAGAGTAATGTTGGGTGCAGCTCAAGCCTTTGGCTGTCAGACTCGATCTCCGTCCCTTTGTAGTGGCGGTGACAGCATGACATACACACTCATCAAAAGAGTTGACACTCTCTTTTGTTCGCCATAATACTCCAGGATCTTCAGACCTATTCGCCAAAACAACATACCGTGTGAAAAACAACAGCAACCTATCTGAAAATGTTTTTTTCATTTAAATATATAAGTCGTGTGTTATTTTGAGGTAAAAATAATCTAATTCTTGAAGGCCAGCCTCTTGAACAACATGCTGACTGCCTTCCATCTCCGACAGCTGACCCTGACCCCCTGACCTCCCTACACAGGGGAGTAATTTAAAAATATTATCCTTTGGGGACCATTGAAATATCTCATATCATTTAGGCATCCAGCAAGAGCAGTGGCCTAAAAAATCTGACTGACTTGCCATTTCATTTCTGAACAAATCAGAGATATGGCTGATGATTTAGAGCTCTAGAACCGGTCTGGATATGAAGGCTCATATTATTTCATGACCTCCAGGGCTCACTCTGGACAGGCACCTATTTAGTCACGTTACACCCAGGACAGGATGATGTTTACAGAGTACAGACATGTGTTCAGGGCTTCTCAGTTCATCGATGTTGTGGAACAAGATGCTTGAGACAATCTGCAGTATTTTCTTTCAAATCTCTCCCCAAAAACGTACTGATGCAACTTTTACTTTGGCTCCATGTTGAAAATTGTCATCCTTTATCTGTTTATTTCATTACAATGATTACGATTATTTATCTCATCTGGCGTTCTGTTGTTTCAGTTTCTTCTGATTTTTGATACTTGATTACTTTTTAATAAATCAGACAAAATGCTGCCATGTTTTTCACCGTACCCTGTTACCTTGGTTAAAGCTTCTCTCCTGTCTGTGCTACTGAAAAACATTGATTTGAAAGAGCCAGTACAGTTTCATT